GCTGAGGTTATTCCCTCAGAATCTTGACAACAGGTACCTTCTCCAGGGAGGACACCTCTTTACAGGGACAGACTCTGAACCAAACCGGACTCAGGGATGTGGCCGCAGCAGCACAGGTGATTAGGGTGACTTTCCCTTGTTCTCATGAGCACTGGATTCCCAGGCTCAGTGGCTCCTCTACTCCACAGCTTCCTCAGGAGCATCCCTCTCTCACCCCTCCCTCACCCCCCACCCCTAACCTCCATTCAGGCTCCGCGCTGTCCCCTCCCAGCTGCTCCCCATGCAGAGGCTCAGCTTGGGATGACTTTCTCCCACAAATAGGACATGTTGATAAGTTAATTCTTACTAGAACTCTGCAATGTGGTCACACTCAGTCCTATTTTGCAGATGAAGAAACTGAGACTTAGAGAAATCATACAATGTTCTAAAGGCACATGGTCACACGTCGGGAAGTGCCAGGGCCAGAAGCAGCTTTGCATTCAGACCTAGGTTTTCTCTGGCTTCAGACTGTGCCCTTCGAGACAAATTGGAACTCACCGCTATCTAAGGCACTCGCCTTCTACTCACAAACACAAACACAGACAAAATTATAGGATTATGTTATTGTTGTTCATTTATATAATTTTAATTTGGAGGCCTCAAAGTATGTTTCATGTGTATCTTCATAAGTGTCCTAGAGCTTAACTCCCAAACATTTACTGATGACTAATTGGGTGTAGGAGGGCCGGGCAACATGCTGGGAACAGAAAGAGGAACTTGTGGCCGTGATGGGGAGGTGATGGGGCAGAGGAGGGGTAATTTCCTTGCTTACTTCTCAGCAAATATTTTGAAAGATGGAAATGAACATCAAAATTATACATGTGACTACAGCCAAAAGTCTTTGAAGGATCTGAAGCATCGGAAGTCTGGGAGATGTTCAGGTCCTGTTACATAAAAATGGGTGTCTTCTCGAAATGCAAACTACCGCATACTTGATGATCTCTTAGCAATTACAAGAATTTTTATTTAACCCATATTTATCAATGAAAGGTTAACGTGATGGTGTGCGGGCAGCTAAAAAGCCATCTCAGGCGAGAGGATAAAAAATACTTAATTTATTAAAATGGGATGGGGATATCCAGGATACCCAAAGGGAAGGCTACACAGCACTGAGCCAAAGGGCACTGGGTCCATGACAGCAGCAAAGTACACTTGGGGCAGTGAGACAAGAAAGAACATAGAAGCCGCAACAGGAGAGCCTGGCTGGGCTGCTCTGGTTCCCTGGGAGGTCAGAGAGAAGGGGCCTTGGAGACAGTTTCCGGGGATAAGCCTGGAAGAGCTGCCACTGCCCATTACTCCCCTGGTTGCAAGTCTCATGGGGTCCCCTCGGAGGAATGGAGATGGCGCTGGCGTGCTTCCCTGGTGGGGAGCTCGTGCTCGGTCCTTTGTCCTGAGTGTATTTATCTCTTTCTTGGAGGAGGGACTCTTAGGGGAGGCCTCAGGGGAGGGTCTCAATAGAATATTCATCAGCTTTCCAGGTGTGTTCTTTCAGGGTCATGGTCTCCACTGACTGGTCAGTGCCAGGGCAGGGGGTCATTAGTCAATATGTCTGGTTTTGCTGCTTTTCTGTACCTGGAGCCAAAGCACAGCTAAGGCCTGGATGTTTAGAGAAGAAAGGTCAGGGGGTCCAAACTGCACGACCATCAATATGCTGGGGGAGGATAGGTTACCCTGGGCACAAGGTTCTTGTTTTCCCAGTTTTGCCCCTTGCTAGGCATCCGGGGCTTCCTGCCCTGGTGAGTCTCCATACAAGGTTTCTGTACCTGGCCACCTAACAGTCAGGGTTGAAGGTTTGCTGGTGATAAAGTGAACAGATCAAGCGTGCCTGTGTGTGTGCCTGAGTGTGTGCCTGTGTGTGCCTGAGTGTGCCTGTGTGTGTGCGTGTGCGCCTGTGCCTGTGTGCCTTGTGCGCGTGTGCCTTGTGTGTGTGCCTGTGTGCGTGTGCCTGTGTGCGTGTGTGCCTGTGTGTGTGTGCCTGTGTGTGTGCGTGCCTGTGCCTGTGTGCGTGCCTGTGTGTGTGTGCCTGTGTGCGTGTGCCTGTGTGCGTGCCTGTGTGCGTGTGCCTGTGTGCGTGTGTGCCTGTGTGTGTGTGCGTGCCTGTGCCTGTGTGCGTGCCTGTGTGCCTTGTGCGTGTGCCTGTGTGCATGTGCCTGTGTGTGCGTGCGTGTGTGTGCCTGTGTGCGTGTGCCTGTGTGCCTGTGTGTGTATGTGCCTGTGTGTGTGCGCCTGTGTGCCTTGTGCGTGTGCCTGTGCGTGTGCGCCTGTGTGCCTGTGTGTGTATGTGCCTGTGTGTGTGCCTGTGTGTGCCTGTGTGCCTTGTGCATGTGCCTGTGTGTGTGTGTGCGTGTATGCCTGTGTGTGCGCGTGCCTGTGTGCCTTGTGCGTGTGCCTGTGTGTGTGTGTGTGTACCAACTCAGGGACAGAGAGCCCCTCTTCTCTTCTTGATAGGAAGCAACCCAGACCCCTCTCAACACAGCGATTCCTTTCCTAGACCCCACCTGCCTGTCTTACAGGCTCCCACATTCATTTGCCCTATTTCAAGAGAGGTGCAGAAAATACATCTCCTGGGAGGGCCTGTGGTGCCACCTAGAGGCCGAGAGCACAAACACCGGAACTGGAGAGGACGCCCCGCCCTCCGGGGGGTTCTGCTCCCGGTTCGGACGGTCCGTGCGGGGCTGGCGGGTGCCTCCTCTCGTCCTCCACGGGGCTCTGAGGGTCCGCAGGAGACTTGCAACCAGGGAGCAGCTCGTCCCAGGCAGCCCCTGAACCCTTTTCCAAGAACCCTCCTTTTACCTCTGTAACTTGTTCCCTGAGTCCACGCAACCCCTCCTGGCTCCCCCCGTGGCTGTGGTCTTGCCTCTTCCATCTGAAGCCTTTCCCGTTTCATTGTCCCGGCTTTAATAAACGTCCTCGCGAAATCACCGGACTCCTCCTGCATTCTTTCCTGCGGGAAGGCAGGAGCCCGCACCCTGCAGGCCGTGCAGGGCCCGCCGGCCTGGGTGCGGGCGCGCCTCGCGCCCCCGTTCGTCCCAGGCCCCTCTGCCTCCCGTCTGCAGCTCCTCCCTCGCTCCCAGTGCTTCCCCGCACTATTGAAAAGGTTCAAGTCTTTCCAGTTAGAAAAAAAAGAAAAAGGAACCCGTCCTTCAACTCCAGGTTTCCATCTTTCTTGAAAAGACCCCAGATTAATACCTTAAAAAACAGAACAGTAGGCAGCAACAAAAAAGGACTCACACGCCCATAAAACGCTGGGCAAAAGGGGGAAAAGAAAAGGAAAAATAGTCACGAGAAAGGAACTACAAACACGTGACTTCGTGAGCGTTGGAAGAAACGTTTTACTTCAAATGCATAAAATTATGCAGCTGGTCCGGTGGCGGCACCGTCGTTTGCAGTCCGACTTCAGCGCCCGTGCGACAGCCCAGAAGGACCGCGCGGCCGCGGACCTGGAGCCCGGGGCTCGCGCTCCGCGCGGACCGGGGCGG